CGGGCCTAGAGCCCTTCTCAGCAGGAAGTAGCATATGAAAGCAGAGAGCTCCACTCCCTCAGCACCCTATGAAAAATTATGGATTAGGTTGGGGCTTTAGCTTAGTGACGCCACACCTGCCTCACAAGCACAAGGTCCCAAGTTTGATCCCTAGTACCAAAAAAAAAAAAAAAATTATGGGAATATGCGTCCCTCACAAGAACAAATGAAGCAGGAGATTAGGGTATGGCAGACTGGCTGGGGAAGTAAGTGTGACCTGTTAGTTACAAATCCCAAGACATGAGCAGAACAGTTTCTAAAGCCTTGCTTGTGGACTCAATCTTCAACTCCATTCATGAGAACTCATGCAGGTTTTTGATATGACAGGGTAGACCTGATGTCAGTCCAAGGAGGGGAGATAAGAAAAGACAGTCAGCATTGAGCTACTGTGCTCTCTCTTTCACAGTGGTCTGCCTCATGCTGAGCTATATCCCCAGCCCCTCAGATTTTTAGGTATAACTGAAATGTAGATTTAAAAATTGGGGGGGGACTATTATTATTGTTATTATTATTGTTTTGGTACTGGGGATTGAACTCAGGACCTTGTGCTTGTGAGGCAGATGTGGTGCCACTGAGCTAAATCCCTGGTCCAACGAAGGGGGGCTATTATTTATTTATTTTTGAGACAAGGTCTCACTTTGTAGTGCGTGCTGGCCTTGAATTCACTATGTAGCCCAGGCTGGCCTTGAAATTGTGGTGATCTTCCTGTCTCAGCCTCCCAAGTGTTGGGATTGCAGTTGTGTGCCACCAGGCCTGGCAGAAAAATATTTTTGATATCTCCTTAATATAAGGAGACTTCTGAAACTCATACTACAGAGCAAGATGGTGTATCATTTATCCTGTGACAATCCTTCTTTCACCTGGAAAAAATAATGCCAGGTAGCCCCAGCTAGTCAGGAGGCCAAGGCAGGAAGATCACAAGTTCAAACCCAGTCTGGGTAATTACTGAGACCTTGTCTCAAAAAGAGCTAGGGATGTAGCTCAGTGGTAGAACACTTAGTTAGCATGCACAAGGCCCTGGGTTCAATATTCATCAAAAGAAATAAACCCAAAACCTGTCATTGAGTTGGGTGTTGTGGCACACGCCTATAATCCTAGCAGTCAGAAGTCAGAGGCAGGAGGATTGCTGAGTTCAAAGCCAGCCTGGGCGAGATAGTGAGTTCAAGGCCAGCCTGAACTACATAGTGAGACCCTGTGTCAAAACAAAACAAAACAAAACAAACCAACAAACAAAACTGTCATTAAAACATGGAACTTTAAAGCATTTATAGTTTTATCTGCAAAGGTGATTTGTGTAGTATTTAATTCTCAGTTAAGTTATTCTATCATGTCTAAAAAAATTTATGTATGCTTCCTATTTTACTGTATGTATTAATATGTTAAGTATATTAACATTATATGTAAAATATGTTTTATATATATATATATATTTATTTATTTTTATTTTATTTTTATTTTTTTCTTTTTGAGAAAAGGTCTTGCTGTGCAGTTCTGGCTGGCCTTGAATCACCATGTAGCCCAGGCTGGCATCGAATTCATGGCAATCCTTGTGCCTCAGATTCCCAAGCGCTGGGATTACAATTGTGCACCACCACACCCACTGTGAAATAACATAAGTTATTTTTTCTTTTGCAGTTCTAGGGACTAAAGAATACTTTTTTTGAGACCAAGAATAGCCAGATTTCAAGAGAAGAAAAGAAAACGTGTTTTTCTTTGTTCCTTCCTTCCTGCCTGCCTTCCTCTGTCTCTTCCTTTTGTGTGGTGCTGGAGACTGAACTGAGGGCCTCATATATGCTAAGCTCATACTCTGCCACTGAGCTACATTTCCAGCCCTACAGATATTTTAATTGGATATCATCATGGCCAAAGTCTCAGTTATGAAAGGGGGGGCGAGCTCTGATCAGCCTCTCTAATTTCTGAAACAAAAACTTCACAAAAAAGGGTAGGAAACCCACTGTGAGCAGTGTACTGATTATTCGTTACTAATTTTATTCAAAGTAGAAGTAAAGATTGTTGAACAAAATCTTTCTTACTGCCTGAATAGCCAATATACTGTTTTATTAGAAAGCAGTCTCCTCTGACCTTTGGTCAAGGTTGTCCTATCTCACTATGCTGTACATGCATGCCCTTGCCCTACAAATTAAAACCTAGGAACCCAAAGAATTTGCACTAGCACATGGTGGCAGCCGTCACAGATTCTGTCTTGGAAGGACATGGAAGGACTTTGTAGCTGCTTTTCATCTTTCATACATTCTCTGCTCTCCCCATAACCATGAATACAGAGTTAAACAGAGTATCTGATCCAGAAAATACTAAAATTATAAAGAAAAAAAAACAACAACTATAAGCTCACCATTCAGGAACACCTAGTACTAACTCTGGTGAATTTCCTTTGCATATATACTTTTTACATGATTAAGACTACTCTGTATAAAAATGTTTTTTAAAAAATGAGTCAAGAAATGCAATATTTTTGAGATTATTTTGTTAGCATAGATGAATTGTTTTAGTTTTCTGGTTATTGGTACAGATAGTAATACTTCTCTGATTCTTACTCTTCTCTTTCCTGTTATTTTATTTCATAGAATTTGGGATTGAACCTAGGACCTATGCACTGAGCTACAACCCCAGTCCTTTGATTTTTTTTTATTTTGAAGCAGGGTCTTGTTATGTCACTGAATTGCCCAAGCTCAACTAAAACTTCCAATCCTCCTGCCTCAGCCTCCATAATACTGGGATTACAGGTATGTTCATTATTTTAAAACATGCTATTTTAGGAGGGTCTATTGGCTCAGACCTGTAGGATCTCAAATTCAAGGCCAGCCTGTCCTTCGCCAAAGAAAAAGCTATACATAAAAATATGTAACCTATGTGTATGTGATTATAATGAACATCCATGAACCCTTCTGTCAATCCAAAAAATAGAATTATTAATAATATTAATTATTTTGTTGTTGAGGAGGGTCTTGCTATGAGCTCAAGCTGGTCTTGAACTATGTAGCCCAGGTTGGACTCTAATTTGCATCAATCTTCCTGCCTCATCTTCTAAAGTTCTGGGATTACAGGTATGAGCCACTATGACAGGCTTCAAATAAATTCAAATTAAGCAATTGAAAATTTTATCAAGTATATTCTTTTACTGATGATGCTAACAAAATTTCTACATTTTGTCTCTGAACTTTGTAATATTTGGCTTATCTCTCAAGGGGAGGTAAACTCCTTTCTTTTTTTTCCTGGAGAACACAGTTTAATGATCATCTAAAATATATGTAGAAAATACAGAAATGTTCACTCAGAATATTAACTCAAGATAAAATTCATACTTTCCAAGCATTTAATATTTTATGTGTTTTACAGGCAAGAAATTTAAATTAGACTTCTACTTATTTCATATTTTCACAAAGGTGATTAACTACAGAAATAAAGCAATTCTCTGAAACTAAATGAAAACATCACGCTGATTTTGCTTAGCTCTCAACTTTTAATGGCCAAAGATACCACACAGCCTTGTCATCATATTCATATGTTCTCTTTAAGAATGTGTCTGCAAGTCGTAAGCCGGAGACGCTTTATAGTCCTTGTACGGAAGACAGCAGAGTCAGGGCAAGTCAGAGAGAGGAACTTGGGTGCAGCTTTCCAAGCTGTCTTCCTGAAATACCACACCAGTGAATAGAATTGGTATTACACGTTTCCAAAACTAGACCCATCGTCCTTCCACTGCAGTTTGTTATTTTACAAGTAATATAGAAAGGTTCTTCTAGGTTGACAGTGTCTGGGATTGCCTCCAAAGACAGCCTAACATCTCCATAACCTGAAGCCATTCTTTGAAGTTGGCTGGTTTGTAACCTTCCCCTTTCGTCTAGATTTGTTTTCCATACTATATACAACTTTCCCATTACTGTTACTCCTTTAATAATGCCAGCTTTTGCTGCAAACTCCTTATTGCATTTTAGGCAGTATAAATACTGGCGTGTATCCATTGGCTGCAGATATGCTCTTGACTCAAATGTGGACACACATTCTCCGGCTTGGCTGACTGAATTTAATTGTTACACTGTACATTATGGATGGCTCCAATGACACTTTCTCCATAAAGATGGGTGAGATTATAATATTCTGAATCTGGGCTTCCTTTCTTTTTTCGGTACTGGGGATTGAACTCGGGACCTCGCGCTTGCAAGGCAGGCGGCGAAACTCTGAGCTAAATCCTCAGCCCCAAACTCCTTTCTTTCTTTTTTTTTTTCAAACTCCTTTCTTTTGATGGGTTTAATCTTGATTTCTTTTTCCTAAGCTGCTTCTTAGACCCAACTTCAATTTCAGATCTGTTCTTCTTAAAGCTATCCTTAGTGCTTTTTTGAGGGGGGATCCTTGTAGTCTGGTTTAGGAAGGCTCATGCTGACAGTCAGAGATTTTCTAAGAACCCACTAAGTCCTTGCTGTACAACTTGAGCACTGCGACCTCGCACAATGTCGATCTGCCTGCACCTCAGTTTTTCTCCATTTTTTTGTCTTTTTTCCTATTACCTCCTTCGCTTTACTTTTTTGCTGTTGTTGGTACTAAGGATTGAACTCAAGACCTTGCGCTTGCGAGGCAGGCGGTGGCACCACTGAGCTAAATCCCCAACCCAAAAGTTCTGTTTTGTTTGTTTATTACCAGGGATCGAACTCCGGTCCTTCCACTTGTGGGGCAGGCGCCAGAACCACCACACTAAATCCCCAGCCCCCTTTTTCGTTTCTTAAATGAGATCAACAACACCTGTGGACCTTAGCGGATTGTTTGTGAGGTTTAACAATGTCGGAAAATTTAAGCTGTAAACCAAACTCCTAGCCAAGAGGCAGGCAAGGAATGGAGAAACACGACCTTGAACCCCAATGTAAAGGATGGAGCGCTCTGAGCGAATCCAGCGCTAAGCGTCAGCACCTCTGCGGGCCCGACGCCCTCTGGGTCTAGAGCAATAGATCCCCTGCGTCAGGTATCCCCAAGGTCTGCGCGCCGCGCCGAGGAAACACTTCCCTAGAGCCAGAACGCTTCAAACCTTCAGCTGCTTCCCAGCTTGCACTGTCCAGCGCCCCCGCCCTCGCCCACAATACATCGCGCGCGCACATCCGGGCGTTTGCTGGTCACGTGGTGCCACACGGCGCGCGCTCCCGTTCTGCGCAGGCGTACAGCGCAGCCGCCAGCTATTTTTCTCTGCGGCGGCCGCGAGCGGAAGTGCTGGGGAGCGCCAGTTCCGTCAGTGTGTTCGAGTGGACAAAATGGCGAAGATCGCCAAGACTCACGAAGGTAAGCGTCGGCCCCGCTTCCCCGCCGTTTCTTGGGCCGGCCGGCCCGGACGCTGCGGTCCTGAGCTGCTGCCTTGTTCCGGGGCCTCTCCCCGAGGGGGCCGGGCGGTGCGCGGGCGTCGGAGGTGCAGGCCGCAGCCCCTCTTAATGGCGTCCTCCGACGCCGCGACAGGCGCTTTGTTCCTAGCGGGCTCCGCCGCTTCAGCCCTGCTTCTCGTGGCTGGGTGCAGGCCTTGTTGGGCGGCTGGGGGAGCGGGGTCCGAGCGGGGGTCGGAGGGTCGTCCTCGCACCGGGCGGGGTATGCGCGGAGCCGAGTGCAGAGCTCGGACCCGACCCTGCCCGGCCGTCGAGCGTCCTCGGGCGGCTGGCTGCTGGGTCTCTGCTGCAAGGGGTGATTCGGGTTTGAAACCTGCCTGCTTCCTTCCACGATCACTTTCACTACCGAGTTGGGCTTTTGGTTGGAGGCTGATTCTTGGAGAAGCAGGCGGGAAAGGAATAAAGCACGTTAGTTTTATCAGTGGCCGAAGCTTTCAGGATACTTGAGCGTCTTACAACTATCAAAGTAGGAAAATGTTGAGGATACACTGGAATCCGGGAGGGAGTGTCCAGGGAACACGGGAAACGGGCCTGGGGAAGTTGGAACACCTTGTGTCCAATATTGACCGTGAACACGGACTGCCGAGAACGAAAATAGTTTATTTCACCCGACCTTACATAGGTATGCGGCTCGGAATTAGTTTCTGAGAATTAACAGACCAGGGCCGTTAAAATGTTAGTCTAATGGGGGAAACAAACGTGTATGTATATCCGAATTCTCTTCTGAGCCCGAAAAGTGTATAAATAGAAGTCGGAGCTACGTGGTCTTGGTAACGGAGTGGTTAAATTTATGCTTAGAGTTAATTTCAGAAGAGGTGACGTGTCTCTGCTCTAAAAGGATCAATCCGTTTTAAATTAGGGGAGGACTTTCGAGCCTAAGAGAACATCTTGTAACAAGGCAGATCGTGAAAGGTGTGCCTGAGTAGAGTGCAGCGACAGGAAAAGTGGGCGCAAGGAGGGGGAAAGTCAGGTGAATCTGGAAAGCTAGGTTAGGATCAGAAAGTGAGTGGCTTTGTGTAGTTGAGCTACCTACCCAGAGGAACTGAAGTCCAACACGTTCTGTTTTGTTTTGTTTTTGAGACAGGCTCCCCTTATGTAGTTCAGGCTGGCCTCAAACTCACTGTTTAGTCCTGGCTGGCCTCGAACTCGCAGTGATTCTCCTGCCTCAGCTTTCTAGTGCTGGGATTACAGGTGTGCACCACTACTCCTGGCGCTAAAGCCCGACACTTTTTAAACACGGAGTGTTTTTGGATGTATTCTTTTGTCTTCAGATGATTTTAAGTATATTTTGCAGAATGAGAGTATTAAAGATGTTGCTCTGCTTATTCATTCAGGAGTAGATTGTTCAGTTAGGGGCATTACTTGTTTGCTTTTAGTATTTTCAGTGTAACACATGGTCGATCAGGAAAAATAAAAGTTCAGATCAGTTTTTCTGCCTTTTAGAAACACAGCTAAAAGCCTTGCTTGATTACAGTTCATTGGTCAGAGTTGCTATGCTCTTTGGGATTATTCAGTATGAATTAAGTGATAGCATAAAAAATTTGAATATTGTGCATTCAGTATAGATATTTGTTGTAGAACTTAGAGTGGCCTATTTTGTGAAGGTTTTCCCTGCTACTCCGATACTGTTGCATATAGGAATTATGCCATGGTGTCCCCAGTACCTGGTGCATAAGGGGTGCTCACATGTTTAATCACTGCCTATAAAGGGTTAATATATACCAGATGTATTTTATTTTATTTACCAGATATTTTAAAAGCTTCATAAAAAGAGCAAGTCCTCCGTAGTGCCTTTCCTGTGACCCTTGAACTCAGGGTCTCATGCGTGATGCTAGGCCAGGGCTCTACCACTGGCCTTTTAAAGTTTTTGAGACAGGGTCTTGCCTTTTATTTTATTTATTTATTTGTTTGTTTGTTTAGGTGCTGGAGATTTGGGGTCTTTGTGTTTTCAAGGCAGGCAGTGGAACCACTGAACTAAATCCCCAGCCCACCTTCAAAAAATTTTTAAATTGAAAAAAAAAAATTAAAAAGACAGGGCCTTGCAAAGTTGTGCAGACTGGTCTTGAACTTGTGCTCCTGCTTCAACTTGCTGGAGTAGCTGGAACTACAGGTGTGCCCTACCATGCACACCCCCCCTCCAGCGACCTTTTTTTTTTTTTTTTTTTTTTTTTTT